CGACACCTTCAAACAATTGAAATTGGAGGACAAAGACTTGGCACCAGCTGTGTCCCCCCTGATCGGATTCAATTCAATGCCAGAGTGGCCAGTCGGCAAGATCATCATTCCAGTCAGGGCAAGAAGCGTGACAAAACAAGTGGAGTTTTGGGTATTGAAGGTCTCTTCCACTTACAACATAATCTTGGGAAGAACATGGCTGCATGCCATGCGAGCGGTAGCTTCATCCTACCATCAAGTAATGTGATTCCCCAACAAAGCTGGGATAATTGAAAAGGTCTTTGGAGACCAAATTATGTCCAAGTAGTGCTTCGTCACGATTAATGGAAGCCGCGCTGCCAAGGGATATGTTCATTCGGTAGAAGAACCTGAGAGCAATGAACTGTTCGCAGATGTCGGAAAAGCAGCTGATCAAAAAGCGGTGGAAAGACTTGGTAGAGGTAAGAATAGATGAAAAGAACCCGGATAAGTTCTTTTTGCTCGGTTCGTCGTTGTCCAGCACTAAAAGATTAGAGGTCTTGGAATTCTTGACCTCTAACATCGAAGTGTTCGCCTGGACACCCTACGACATGCCACGCATTGATCCGAACTTCATCTGTCACCAACTCAATGTCCACCCATCCGCCAGACTAATCATTCAGCGCACTCACAGATCGGCACTCCACCACGCCGAGATAGTGGCGGAAGAAGTGGGAAATCTGCTAGAGGCAGGAGCTATCAGAGAGGTGCACTACCCCAAATAGATTTCCAACGTAGGCGTGATACCAAAGAAGAATGGCAAATGGCGTGTCTGCGTCGACTATAAGATAGTCAACAAAGCATGTCCAAATGATAGTTTCCCCCTATCACGGATAGATCAATTGGTAGACCTAACGGCGGGGCACAACCGGCTTAGCTTTCTGGATGCGTACAGGGGCTACCATCAGATCGCCATGTACGAACCAGGCAAGGAGGTCACATCCTTTACAACTCCAAGAGGATTGTATTGCTACAAGGTCATGTCCTTTGGCCTAAAGAATGCAGGGGCAACATTCCAACGGATGGTCACTAAGATGTTTGAACCATTGTTAGGCAAAACAATGGAAGCTTACATCGACGACATAGTGGTCAAGAGCAAGGATAAGAATGACCATCTAAGGGACCTAGGTGAGATGTTCCAGATTCTGAAGAAACAACAAGTTGCGCCTTAATGCATCTAAGTGCGCGTTCGGTGTAGGATCTGGCAAATTCTTGGGCTTCTTTGTGACCAACCGGGGTATAGAGGCGACCCTCTCCAGATCAAAGCTATTCAGGATCTGGAGAGGCCTAACTAAGTAAAAGAAGTACAGCATCTCACCGGCATGGCTGCTGCACTCAACCGATTCATTAGCCAGTCGTCAGACAGACTATAACCATTTTTTTAAGGCGTTAAAAGCCAAGTTCGAGTGGGACGAAGAATGTGACCGCGCTCTGGAAAACTTGAAGGAATACATGTCTTCTCCACCACTGCTTGTCACCCCAATACCTGGAGAAGAACTCTTCCTGTACCTGGCAGTCTCTCAGCACGCAATTAGCGCAATGTTGGTCCGTGCGGTAGGAATCCAACATCTGCCCATCTATTATGTCAGCAAGACATTGCTGGGTGTCGAAACAAGGTACTTGCCACTGGAAAAACTAGCCTTGGCCTTGATAATGGCCTCAAGAAAGTTATCACACTACTTTCACGCCCATACCATAGTCGTCCTCACAGCTTTCCCATTAAAAGTTTTGTTTGAGAGGGCGAACTTTTCTGGGCGAATCTTAAAGTGGGCAGTAAAGTTGGGACAATTCAACATCAAGTTCCAACCCAGAACCGCGATAAAGGCCCAAGCTTTGGCAGACTTTGTCGCATAATTTACCCCGGGAAGTCATCATATCTGCCCAGTCGACCTGACTAACACAATCGAACTAGGGGTGGAAGTTGACGCTGGAATAGCGCAACCCCTGGTGCAGAATACTCAGTCGGACCCCAAGGCAGACCAGAATAAAGAGAGCAAGGAATAAGCAAACCATGCTACATCAAGCCAAAACTCGCCAACAAATAAAGACTTGGTTCAATCAGATAGCAAGGGACAGACAGCCAATATGGACCTTGAAGAAAACACCAGCAACATCCCTGACCCCACAGCATCATCTGATCCCTCCACTCGCTGGAAATTGTTCGTTGGAGAGATGTGGAAGCTCTTTGTGGACGGAGCATCCAACCGGCATGGTGCAGGACTTGGCATAGTCCTCATCTCACCAGACGGCCTGGTTGTGGAGCAAGCAATCAACCTTGGCTTCCCAGCATCAAACAACGAAGCGGAGTATGAAGCACTTCTTGCAAGACTCAAATCAGCATTCTACATGAAGGCCACCGAACTAATGGTCTACAGCGACTCACAGCTGGTGGTAAACCAAATTTCTGGCGACTATGAAGCAAAGGATGACAGGATGGCCAAGTACCAAGAATTGGTCAGAACAGAGATCAAGAAATTTGAAGTAGTAAGGATAGAACAGATTGGCAGGGAGGAAAACAGCAGAGCAGACGAACTAGCAGGCTATGCGTCAATAGCAGATACATCCATCCCTCATTCACTACTAATTGACTACCTACCAAGACCAAGCATTGAGGACCCCGAAAAAGAAGAAGTGTGTTGCGCCGAATTAGGCCCCTCATGGATGGATCCCATCATACTGTTCTTAAAAGACGGCGTCTTACCGGAAGAAAAGAAAGAAGCCAACAAAATTAGAGCAAAGTCGCAACGATTTTGGCTCTCCCCATCTATGACATTGTACAAAAAGTCATTCTCAGGACCTTATCTGAAGTGTGTCCACCCCAGCAAAGTAGAAGCATTCTTGTTCGAAAAACACGAAGGGGTGTGCGAAAGCCACCAAGGAGGAAGATCGTTAGCCTACAGAGCCATTTCACAAGGATACTGGTGGCCATACATGCAGGCAGACTCAGAGAAGTATGTGAAAAAGTGCGAGAAAGGTCAGAAGTTCGCACACCAAATACATCAGCCGGGCAGAGAACTCCTACCATTGACCAGCCCATGGCCCTTTGCAATGTGGGGCTTGGACATAGTAGGACCATTTCCAACAGCACCCGGAAACAGGAAGTTTTTTTTCGCAGCAACAGACTACTTCACAAAGTGGGTAGAAGAAGAAGCATTGGCATCAATCAAGGAAAAAGATGTGAAGAAGTTCGTCTGGCAGAATATCATTACTCGATTCGGCATACCTAAAGCCCTAATATCCGACAATGGCACCCAGTTTGATGGTAGAATCTTTAGAGGCTTTTTGTGAAGAATACAAGATAAAGTTCTACAATTCTACACCGGCATATCCCCAAGCCAGCGGCCAGGCGAAAGCGTCAAACAAGGTCATCTTGGATGGACTGAAGAAAAGGTTAGAAAGAGCAAAGGCAAATGGCCTGAAGAGTTTTCTCGTGTTTTATGGGCTTACCGCACCACACCTCGACGATCAACAGGAGAAACACCATTCTCCTTAGCCTATGGCATGGAAGCAGTAATCCCGTTGGAAGTTGGCCTTCCCACAATTAGAAGCGAAAATTTTGATCCAGACTTGAATGGAGAAGCCATAGCATTGGAGCTCGACTTCGCCGAAGAAAGAAGAGAAAAAGCACTGGTTCACATCGCCTCATACCAACAAGAGTTATCCAGGAAATACAACAAGACAGTACATCCGAGACAATTCAAAATCGGAGATTGGGTACTGCGCAAAGTAATGGAAAACACCTTGGTCCCAAGAGATGGCAAATTGGGGCCTAATTGGGAAGGACCTTACAAAGTGGTCGGATTAGCTGGCAAGGGGGCATACCACTTAGAAGATGAGGACGACAAAGCAATTCCCAGGCCATAGAACACTGCCAATCTCAAACTATTTTATTTTTATTTTTTCTTCAAAATACTTGTGATTTTTCTTTTCCCCAATAAAACAAGTAGTTTTCTTTTCAGCATAAATGTTTTATTCTGTAAAAATCGTTTTAGTGAGTTAGGGGCATTGAAAACATGGTTGGCTGGAAAAACCAACACCCTTCTTAAGCCCAGGATAAGGATCCAGGCTGCAGGACATTTGGTCGGAATACCCAAACACTTTACTCTAGGTTGGCTGGATTAAACCAACACCCCTCCTAAGCCCAGGATAAGGATCCAGGCTGTAGGACGTTTGGTCGGAATAACCAAACACTTTACTCTAGGTTAGTTGGAAAAACCAATCTAGAGGTTGGCCAGAAAAACCAATCTAGAGGTTGGCTGGAAAAACCAACACCCCTCCTAAGCCCAGGATAAGGATCTAAGCTGCAGGACGTTTGGTCGGAATAACCAACACCCCTCCTAAGCCTAGGATAAGGATCCAGGCTACAGGACGTTTGGTTGGAATAACCAAACACTTTACTCTAGGTTGGCTGAAATAACCAATTTAGAGGTTGGCTGGATTAAACCAACTCTTAGTACTCTTCAGCCGACGTAAGGATCTCGGCTAAAGAGTGGTTGGCTGGATTAAACCAACTCTTTGTACTCTTCAGTCGAAGTAAGGATATCGACTAAAGAGTGATTGGCTGGATTAAACCAACTCTTAGTACTCTTCAACCGATGTAAGGATATCGGCTAAAGAGTGGTTGGCAGGATTAAACCTACTCTTAATACTCTTCAGCCGAAGTAAGGATATCGGCTAAAGAATGGTTGGCTGGACTGAGCCAACTGTTAGTACTCTTCAGCCGAGGTAGGTATCTCGGCTGAAGAGTGGTTGGTAGCTATAATTAGATTGCAAGATCAAGACCAAAATAAGTATCTCGGCAAGTGAATATTGTACCTCATCCAAGACTTCGGTTAGAAAGTAAAGTACAAGCATGAAGATCAACCGAAATAAGAGTTGAACAAAAAAACAGACTTCATTGAAAATTCAAAACAAGTATAAAGGGAGGGGCCTCAGCCCGGTTACAATTTGTTTCCAACAGCAAAAAGAAGAAAAATGCAAAGTCAGTTAAACAGATCATCAAGGTCGGCATCAATATCAACTCGGAGCCCGGTTTCACTCTGTAGCACGATCACGGTTGGAAGAACGGCTTCAGTAGGCAGCTCGTTGGTCAGATCTTCCACTATTAGCTCTGACCGAACTAATTGATCGACAGGATCATTAACAGCCGGGGTATCTTTGGGTACGGTGTCTTCTTCATCATCTGAATCCTCAAGAAATTGTTGCTAAAGAGCAGCAGCATATTCCATCATAGAGCTCGAAATGAAGTATGCTGGAGCGTTGAAGACCTCGGTCTCTGGACCGTGACCGAGCTGCTCTACAGCCGCCCTCCAACCGCATTTGAAGAAAAGATCCTTGGCAGCTTCACATTGTTTAATGTAAGTCGTTTCCCCCTCCTTATAACCCCGGAGCTCGGCGTCATCAGCACTCTTCTTCAGCTGCTCTATCTCGGCATTTTTCTTTCCCTCAAGTTTAGCCAGTTCGCGCAGATATTTGTCTTTTATCACGGCTACAGCTTTTTGTTTTTCTGCTTCAGCCGAGCTAACAAGTCCGGTCAGACGACCGTTCTCGACTTTTAGCTCGGCTATTTGCAGCCTGGCTTGTTCTAGCTCGGCAGTTTTTTCAGTCACTTCGGCTAGGGATTGCCTTGTAGTCTTGCGAAGTTCAAGCACGCGCTTATGAGCGATGTGGCTCTTCTGCATGGCCTGCAAAAGGAGGGGAAGACTTGTAATTAAACCGAGATAAAAGTTGTGCAAATTAGAAAGGTTAACAGAAGAAGCTACTTACAAGCACCATGGATTTCGTGGCCGAACGGATGGCCCTTAGTTCGGTCAGATGCTTGTGGTGCTCCATGTCTGCTGGAAGGCAGACACTCTTGGCAAGGTTAAATGCCATTAAGTGATCTTTTTCAGCGACCACTGAGTCAGTGTCCTGAATTTCTCGATTTTGAAAAGTGATTTTGGGTGCCCACTTGGAGGAGCTGGCTCGGTCGGAGCCCTCGGGTTGCGGGCTTGGTGGAAGAATGGTTTCGTCTTCATCTTCAAGGCATTACTCGGTTGGGGTAGTCCGGGCACGCTTGCTTGGGCGAGATGAAGAAGGTTGTTGAGATGGAAAGGCCACCACGGTTTCCTGAGTCTGGTTCGGTGGTGGTGCCTCGGCTCAGTTTGTTTCGGTTAGCAGGGCCCTTACTCTATTCCTCTTGGCCATCTCTTGTTCTGCAGTAGTTCAGACCAGGTTAATTTGTGGCAAGGTTGGATCCAATTCAGGAGATGCCTCCAGCAAGAAGTCTGTTACTCTGGCTTTTCGTCGACTGCTGTATCTGTACGTCGGTTCAAAATTCAGCAGCTTGGCCCAACTTCTTTCAGGATATCGTAGTGCGGCGCGAAGTGTGTTTAGATTGGGGTAGCTGTACAGTGACTTGAGGTGGGCTGAATCTGCATAAAGAAGACAACTGTCAGTTCGGTTCAGGAACAAGAAACCGAAATAAAGGGAGGCATACAAAGAAGCCGAGGTAATTATACCGGTGGTCCCTTTATTCCAATTTATTTGGTCACCAGGAATCTGGGCTTCTTGGTCTTCGAAGTTCCCAGAAACCCAGAAGAAGTCATCGTCGTTTAAATCTTTATCTGAGGTATCTTGGATTATTTTTTCTCGGTGGCGTCTTGTTCTCAAATAATAAACCCACCCGTCTTCTTTTGAGCCTATAGAATATTGGTGAAAGAGTTCGGCTAAGCCGAGGTTAATAACAGCACGGCGGTTTAGCTCGGCTATACCATTTATTATGCGGTATGAGTTTGTGGAAAGCTGAGTTGGACATATCCTAGTTTGCCTAAGGAATTCACAAAGTAAGGGCTGTACAGGGAATCTTAGGCCGGTTTCTACAATGGA